GTGACTGTAAGTCTTTCTCTCTAGTATAGATCTATATACACATATATGTGTGTGTGCATCCTGCACAATAGTGTGTGAGAGAGGAAGAAACAGAGAGAGAGACAGACAGACAGAGAGGGAGAAAGAAATTGCCCTGGACTTAGCTCTGCACATCAAAGAAATGGCTTCATCTCGACTGGCTGCCTCAACTGATTGAAGCCATTCCCAAGAACTGGTCATGATTTTTCTGCAAGGATTCAGCTGCATATTTCTTGGCGTGGGGACAGAGGATGAACCCCTCGGGCTTTCCTCTCATTATGGTGTCTCTGGTGGGAACAGTTGGGGATGCAAAGCCACTATGATGTCAGTTAGGAGAGAAACCTACGGTTCCCTCAGCCCTTGAGGATTGCTTGGTGAGAATGTGGAGCCAGGTCCATCCAGGAGGTGAAGGCCCAACTCTAGGCTTCTTCTCCCAGGGACTTCACAGACACTTTTTATGTCTTTAATACCTGCATTCCCAGAGCCAAACCCACAGTTTCCAGTTCAAACACCTTGTTCTAGTGCCTTTTCCACTGCCTGGGGATGCCCGAGGTGCCACCCCTCCCTCTCTGGGTTCCCAGTCTCTCTGAGTCTTTATGCAAATATAAAGAACTTCTCGTTGGCAGTGAATAATTCTCACAAGGCTGGGTGGCAGTGGAAAGTTTTTTTTTTCAGCAAAACGAAGATTCTTTTAAAATTTTAAAAAGTCATTCAAGGAACTGTTTGTCTTTCTGAATGCACTAGTTTGGAGTATGGACTGAGTGTGGGAGAGTGCAGGGTGAGGGTGTGTGGACAACAGGGTGTCCGTGCCTGATATGAAAATTTAAAAAACAAAGAAATAAAGGGGGTACTTGAGGATGAAAGATAAACTCACAAACAAGTCGATAAACTTCCTTTTCAGAGTTACTGAGCACACAGGTGACTTTTACTGATTGATTTATTTTTACTGGCATTATAGTGTACTTTATTCTCCTTTCTAAATAGTTTTCATGGAAAGAAAATGCTGAAGAGCGTTCCTTTACGGTTGCATTTTTGCTTAGGATTTCTTTTCATGCTGGGGTGGGGAGCAAACTGAAAAGAGATGTAGGTTTTGTGATTTTATCATTTTTTAGGATGATGTCTCCAAGTAGCACATATTTATATTCTGATACTGTCTTGTTCTTACTTCTGAGTACCCAGTTAACCTAGAGGAGTCTTGAGTGTACTGTAGATGAGGAAAGCATGAGAGATTTGCAATGGGCCAGGCAGGTGCACCTGAGCAGGCACTGCCCCTATCAGCTGATACTCATGGTGACTGGCCTGTAAACCCTCCGCCAGCACTGTAAACCCTACCTGTTTAGGTCTGGTGTGAGTTCTAAGGAATCTGATTAATGCCTGCTTTTGACACTCTGGCTGACTCAGATCCCATGAAGCTGAAGGGTTAGATGAGTCCAATCCTGAGAAACACCCTCAGGTGCAGGAAATAGTGAAAATCAGATGCGGAGAAGCCACACCTGTGATTTTAATCTTTATGAGAATTCATGCTTCTGAACTTCCTCTTTCAAAATCCAGATGACACACAAGTCTATTGTACATCTTTACCACTGGAGAGTGACTTCAGGTGTTTGTAAGGAAGCTGAGATTCTGAATCCCAAGCACCACCACAACGATCACCCTTACAGACACTACTCAGGTCTGCGAGGGCCTTTGGGTGGCCCTGCTTCCTGCGAGCTGTCCTGGCAGGACAGAGAGACTCTTCCCGCCACGGCCCTGCCATTCCAGGCTGAGGCTGTGAGCAGCACCATGACAGGCTCTGGCCGCACTGGCTCTCAACAGCGTGGGTCTCTGACCACTCCACAAGCTGGAAGTGCAGACCGCTGACTTCCCTCGAGAACCCACTGGGTTCCTGCAGGAGGCTCCTCAGAAGTGTCTAAACACACCACTCAAATGATTCGTATGCACCATCACATTGGAAACTTGTTTTCATTGACTGTTACTTAATGAGGAGACTTCCCTCCAGGATGGTTCTGAAGCTTCATTCGTAAGAGCAAGCCTTTGGTGGCGAGCACCGAGCAGACGTGCAGCATCTTTGCTGGCTTCTACCGAAACACCATGTGGATCCAGACGTGGGTTTGTGGTTCTGCACGTGGAAGCCGGCCCTGCATGGGGTGAGCCTGGGACTGTGGGCAGAGAACCCAGGTGCAGAAACTGCATCGTTCCAGCAGGAGGCGCTGCTTCCAGGCTCCCTGGACGGACTCCGGCAGGGCGGCCTTCCCCGCTCCATCCCCGGAGGTGGGACACAGCCCGGGAAAACGCACGGCTTGCCCTCCAGACACCGGTGCTAACAGGGCCGTCAGACAAGGGCCGGGGACTGAGGCCTTTAGGAACTTCAGCTCCAGAGCCCCCATGCGGTGGGACCAGGGGTCTGCCTGAACAGAAGCAAGCTGTGTAGACGGGGGTCCGTGAAGTACAGGCAGGGTTTTGCTGGAAGGTTGGGGCAGAGCAAGGAGGAAAAGCCACATTTACAGCAATTTCTGAAATCTTTTCATTTTTCTCCCCGAATCACATCCATAATATGATTTGAATTTAATAAACTGCTGAAGGTTCCTGGCCCTGAGTCCCAGGGTCCTCCCAGCCCCCGCCCAGTTGTGGGTGCGCGTGGGGAGCGGTAAAAGGGAGGGTAATGGGCTCCTGGAACGCTGCGTGCAGAGCAGTGATGAACGGCCCGAAACCCTCGCGCTGCTCTGCGCCCTTCATCACCCAGTCCGGGTGGTTAGGGACTGTCAGAGAAAAATAATTTAGTGGCCACGGCTCTAACTGATGTGCTGCATTCTGGGGTCAAATGACTATTACAAAGTAGTAGCACTGCCTGGTTTCTCCATCGTAAGAGCTCAGGGCTGACAACATGAAAGCAAAAGGCATTGCAGCCAGAATTCACTGACATCCTTCACATTTTACATGAGTGGGAGGCAGGAGAGGGGCTGGGGAGGGGTGGGGAATGTTTCCTGCTTAACAGATTCAACAGAAGAGTGGCAGGCCCAGCTGGGTGAGCAAAGTATCCCAGCAACAGGGGACACGCCCCAGACCGTGGGTGCTGGGGCTTCTCAGACAAGGTGGCAGGAGACCTGAGCCTGCCAAGGTTGCACCCAAGGTCGTGGGCAGCGTTAGGAGGGCTCTCTCCCAGTGCCCCCCAACCCCCTCCGCCCTTCCCCCCTCCTCCAGGCTGCAAGGGTGAAGTGGCTTCCAGGACGGTCACTGGCTGGCAAGTTTAAGCTACAGACAGTGCAGAAACAGGGTGAAAAAGGAAGAGAGAGGGGAGTAAATAAGAAGGAGGCATAAGAAAAGACGAAGCCAGGCCCCAGCACCCTTGTGAGGAAGTGCCCAGGGACTTATGTGGAAGCCGTTCTTGCTGTCCACCACCTTGTTTTTACTTATGTTGTGTTTTTATTTGAGGATGAGTTTGGACAGTAAGACTGACAGAGATTGCGATCTAAATCCCTCTAACCCACTCCTTAAAATGACCACCAGATGTTCCACAAGTACTTGAAAATGAATGAATGGCTTCCTGAGAGGCAGATGGCTGGGTGTGCCCTACCCCATGCCGGCCAAGAGTTCAACAAGCATTGGTTGACAAGCGAATAGTGAGCACGCAAACCCAGTCACAATTCAAGATGAGGGCTCTGTCACGACGCACGTGGTCTGTGTCACCCTGCAGTCTCCCTGAGCGGCGCCTGGGGTTCGAGTGGGACCTGCATTCATGAAGAGATTTATGATCTCCCCAGGCAAAATAACAGATTCTGTCCTAGGTGTTGGGATGTAACGATGGTAGCGATCACGGCCATAACTTACAATTACTGCATACTTACGACGAGTCCCGCACTGGGCTAAGTGCTTTTTAACTATGTGAAATGTTTCTTTCCTTGATTGATGCCAAAATGAATAAAGATAATTTTCTATATCTGCTACATTAGTGATGCCCACAAATAATTCTGAACATGATAAGAGAAAAGATAATTTGCATAAATCAGCCATTGCAAGACTTGGCAGGATAAGATTGTTTTAAAATGGTATCAGAATAGTTTCTGACAGATATAAGGCAGCAGAATAGGGTCTGGAGGCCCGAACATAAGGCCGGTTGACACTGACTTCCTAGAGCTAAATCAAATGGAAATACTTCAGCGATAACAGGAAATGTCCTCTCCATTTACACAGGGCCTAGGCCGAATAACCAGTGGAAACCTCTAGAGGGTATTTAAACCCCAGAAACTTCTGTAAGGCGCTCTGGGGCCCCTGTGCGCAGGCGCTCCCACCCTGGAGTGCGCTTTCTTTTTTCATAAATCTCTGCTTTTGGTACTTCTTTCTTTCCTTGCTTTGTGGGTTTTGTTCAATTCTTTGTTCAAGGAGCCAAGAACCTGGACACCTTCAACCGGTAACACCCAGACAGAGCTGAGAACATGTGAGTGAAGGTAAACACAGGTTAGAAGGCGGACCCACAGCCGCGCAGGAAGGAACCAGAGGGCTCCTGCCGGGCAGAGTGAGGCCCAGCTCCCTACTCTCGCTCCGGCCTCCTCAGCCTCCCAGCGCGGTTCTCTCTTGGACCAGGGACCCCGTCTGGATCCTGCGGGACTGGGCGGCCTCCCCGGCTGCACCCAGGCACAGGGCGCCTCCCTGGTGGAAAACTTGACCCCAATTGTACCCGGCACGACCATCCGACCCCACGCGTGGAGACCCAGCCACCCACGAGGCCTGGAACGGGGGAACCGTCCCTCCCCCTGCAGACAGAGGCACCCCGGCAGCTCCCCACCGGCCTCGCCGTCTCCTCCCGGGCAGCCGCATCGTCACCCTCAAAACCGCCGGCAGCACCTGCTCTCCGGTCGCCTCGCCAGCCCGGGGGGACATTCTTTCCCCTCCCGCTCCACGCGGCCGCTCCTTCCCCGAGAAGCCCGGACGCCAATCCCCACAGGGAAATGTCGGGGTCCTCCCGCGCCCCCCGCGCCCCTCACCTGCGGCATTGGCGTCCTCCTGGCCCTGCCGGGTGCGTGGCCGGGCATCTGGATGTCGAAAAGCGCCTGCAGCGCGGCCTGCGCGGCCTGACCCCGGGCCAGCTTCTTGCTGCGCCCCGAGCCCTCGAACGTCCTGCCATCCACGCTCACGGCCATCACGAAGCTCCGCGCCCGCCGCTCAGCCGGTTCCGCCAGACACACGTAGCGCAGCCCAGCGCGCAGGCGGTTCAGCAGCACCACGGGATTGCGCTCCCCAGGGGCCGCGGGGGTCGCGGGGGTCGGGCCCACCAGGTCCAGCGCGCGGCACAGCAGCCGCCGTCGCCCGTAGGCCGCGGACAGAAGCGCGGCGTCCCCGGGGCGGCCTCCCGAGAGACCGGGGCGTGGCGCCGGAGGCTCGAACTCCTGGAAGAGCGTGTCGGGGAAATCCGCCTGGTCAGAGGTGAAGTCCGTGCCGGGGCCCGGGCCGCCGCCCATGGCCAGATGCGCCTGGCAGGCGTTGGGGAACTGCACGAAGGACCTGAGCGCCAGCTCGGCCGCGCGCATCTTGGCCTTCTTCTTGGTGGGGCCCGTGCCCTCGAACGTGAGCCCGTTCACCTCCACCGCCACCGCGAAGACCGGGGCGTGCACCGGGCCCGTCTGCGACACTGTCCGGTACTGCAGGCCCGGCCTCAGCTCGTGCAGCTGCACCAGCGCGTTCTTGGGCGCCACCGACCACGACAGCTTCTTCCAGACCAGCTGCAGTTTGCACAAGTGTCCTCCATTCCCCTCCTCCAGCGGCCGCTTCCTCTTCGCACTGGGGGCACCGCCCCGGGCCCGGTCCCCCAGGGGCGGTGGCCGCGCGGCCAGGTTGCCCACATTGCGGTTCTCCTTCACCTCCGCGCTGCTGGTACCTGGAGGGGAGAACAGACCAGTCAGGACCCTGGGCGAGCGCCGGCAGGTCGATGGGAACAGCAGGCACTCCCCTAGGGTCCGAGTCCCTTGTCCCCAGGCCAGGCCTGAGAAATGACTGTGGCCACTAGAGGGAGGGAGCCCCTGGGGGGCCTATGGCCCATGAGGGGAAGCAGCGTCCCTGGTCCCTTGCTGAGGGCCTGTGGCTGGGAGCTGCCCTCCTCCGGGCTGGCTCCTGCTCTAAGTGCGGCTGTGTACCCCAAACAGACAAGCGCCCCTGACTTTGGACAAGTTTTGAGCAATGTCAAAGGTCAGAGAGGCCTTTCCTGGGGTGGTGTGGTCTAGTATCCCCCTTCCGACTTGCTACAGGGACCTCCAGGCCCGGAGACCAGTGTCCCCCCAACACTGAGGGGCAGGGTGTCCAGCCCCCAAACTCTACTTCCTCATTCACAGCCAGAGGTGAGACAGGTGGCGTCTCCTGAGACCTCCCTGGAGGGAAGGATAGGAGCCCGCCCAGGTGAGGCACCGCGGCCTTGGGGTGAGTCCCGGTCTTTCTCCAGGGAGGAGGGGCACACCTATTCCGTAACTACGGTCAGTCCTCTGTATTCCTGAGTTCCCCATCTATGGATTCAACTAACTGTGGAGAGAAGGTATTCGGGAGAAAATGGATGAATCACTACGGAACGTGTACAGACTTTTTTCTTGTTATCATTCTCTAAACAATACAGTATAACAACGATTTGCATGGCATTTACATTGTATTAGGCAGTATGCGACATTCAGAGATGACTTAAAGTACAGGCACCCCCTCCTTGTTTGGCTTCCCAGGTATCGTGTTATTTACTAATCCGAGGTTTGTGGCAACCCTGAGTTGAGCAACTCTGTCAGCACCATTATCCCATGCCATGTGCTCACTTTATGCCTCTGTGTCACATTTTGGTGATTTTTTTTTTTTTTTGAGATGGAATCTCACTCTGTTGCCCAGGTTGGAGTGCAGTGGCACGATCTCTGCCCACTGCAACCTCTGTCTCCCAGATTCAAGCGGTTCTTCTGCCTCAGCCTCCTTAGTAGCTGGGATTACAGGCACACACCACCACGTCTGGCTAATTTTTATATTTTTGTAGAGATGGATTTCGCCATGTTAGCTAGGCTGGTCTCGAACTCCTGACCTCAGGTGATCCGCCCGCCTCCATCTCCCAAAGTGCTGAGATTATGGATGAGAGTCACCGCACCTGGCCACATTTCGGTAATTCTCAAAATATTTCAAAGTTTCCCGTTATTGTATCTGTTATGGTGCCCTCTGCTGTGTGATCTTTGATGTTACTATGGTGGTTGTCATGAACCACACCCATTTAAGATGGTAAACTTAGTAAGTGTTGTGTGTGTTCCGACTGCTCCACCAGCTGGCTCTTCCCTCATCTCTCCCTCTGCTTGGGCCTCCCTGAGAAGCCCCAATATTGAAATTAGGCCACTTAATAACCATGCAGTGACCCCTTAGTGTTTAGTGAAAGGAAGAGTCAGTCCTCTCTCATTTTAAATCAAAGGTAGGGAGGGAGGCATGACGATAGCCAAGATGGGTCAAAAGCTGGCCCCTGGCAGGAACCCAGGCCACTCGCTTGGTTTCTGCCCCTGGGAGTCTTACCACCTTCATGAGACAGGCAAGCACTTTAAAAAGACCTGTAATGTCCCAGTGTTTTCAGGGTAGGTACCAGGGGTCGGTGGTCAGGAGCACAAGCACAGCTCCTTTGGAATGCATTTTGGGAGCGTCGGGCAAGAATAAAGAAACACACGCCTTACTCAGCAATTCTGCCACTGGAGATGCGTCCTACAGAAACCTTCATACACAGAGGCAGAGCTGAACAAAGGTGGGCACTGCAGCATGCTTTCACAAAACTGAAAACTTTGAAAATGCCCAAGTTTCTATGGTTAGAGGAATGATGAGTAATCAGTGATATAATCACACTACAGAATATATAGAATACTGTATAGCAGTTGCGTCTAATGGACTACGTCTGTATGCTTCCACGTAGATGAATCTCAAGAAATAGGATGCCAGATAGTAAAATTGACTTGCAAAATAGCCCATAGGGTAGGATATTACTATTATAAGAACACCAACGTTCTATATTCTTCATGCAGTCATCCATCTGTGACAAAGCTGCTGATGTGTGGGTAATAAAGATCCAGTCCGGTCTCCCCTGGGGAGTGCAGGAGGGCAGTGCAATGAGGGGCTGGGGGTGACTTCACGTGTGACTGCGGTGCTTTATTTCTTTTGCAGAAAATATTCTGAAGTCAATTTAGCAAAATCATCATTTGCCAGCCAGGGTGATGGATGCATTTGATGATGATTTCATTTTTCCGGACTGACCATCCTGGACCACTGTTTTCTGGCAAAGCTGTTCCATTAGGGAATCTCAGCCATGGATGACCCCACAACCTGCTGGGTCCATACTGCCCTCACTGGTGAATGTGCTTCTGGAAGGCTCCATGCAGGTTTACCACAAAATACAAACTTACGGTAGTGAGCTGCGCCATTGCCCCTCCCTGAGGCCTGACCCCTGCAGAACCAGACTTTGTTGTTTCTCATTGCCCCCGTCATCCCTGGGGAGTGTGTTAATGCCCGATTTTCTCAGTGAGGAAGTTCCTTTACTGAGGTTGCAGAGTTTGTTAGCTGGTCGAGGTGCAGTTCAGTCCCAGGCATCGGATCACTCTCATCTGTGTTGTTGCTATAAAGGTGATTTTATGGAAACTGATTACTTCCATCATTGTCTTGGCCTCTGTACAGTAAAACCCTTTTCTGGGCTCTCCGGAAGAGGAAGAGGAAGCTGAACCCACAGGCTGCCCCACGTGTGACCGAATGGTGAGCTGTGCCAGGTAAGAACACACAGGCTTCCCCTCACTCACCGGCTTCGTCCATGGAGAGAGGCTCTTCTGCTGGGTGTGGATGAGTTTTTTCCATTAAGCAAGTGGAAACTTGAGGCAATTTTCACAGCTAACCCACAGTTTAGAAATAGAGGTTGAGTGTGGCTGGATGTTGACACGTGGACTTGCTGGCCATGTGGCCCGAAAGCCAAGCAGGAATGAGACCTAGCTGGCCCAGCCCCACGTTCCCTGCCCCTCAGCTTATGACATCATTGTTGGAGAATAATAAAAACATACATTTCACAAGCACAAAAGATGCCTTTGAAAATCGGGCACCTTCGCGAGGTATCCTGACACTGGAGAATGTTCTTTCAGGTTGCACGCTGCCTGCCCATTCAGCTCGGGGTGGAACCATCCGTCTCTTGGCCTCAACTATCATTACCATCTGGGTGCTCCTGCAGAAGGCTCTCGGCTCTGCTTTAAAAGTGCTCTCTGTTTGCTAAAATCTCTATTTCTCATTTGAATTTTCCGAATTGTGAGGTGGCTCTGTTGTTTTCTCTGGCAATTGTGTCTAAAAAGTATTAGGTTTGGGGAGGTAATTTTGTTAAAATGTGGATCCGAGAGCTTGATCAGTATAGGTGCACAACGTTCATTTACAGTTGATGGCAGTAGAAACAGTTACCTTCTAAGGAGAAAGTGCTGAGTGCAAATGCTTTTGCTAGTCATTATGCACTTTGGGTATACATATAGCAATGAACTCTACTGTTTAGTGTGTTTCAGGCCAAGGGTTAGCAGATGAGATTAACCATGTGATTTTCCAATTTGAACTTAAAGATGGAGCAAAAAACCCAACACGGTCAACTCCCCAACCCCATACCAGACTGCATATAAATTTGCTTGGTACTCTGTAATTTCTTATTGATTTCTCGCAAGGTGGAGATGGACGAGACGGCCAGTGTGATTACAGTATGACCTTTGCTGGATCTTGGATTGGAACTCACGGAGCAACGCTTTGCCTCTAGCTGCACCGAACGCCTCTTTCTGATTCAATGTCCTATGACTCTCAGAATTAAAGTTTTCCATGGCATAAACCATGAATGTCAGATCATGGTATGAGGGCCTCTTTCATGATAGTCAATAATTAATAATAACAGCATACTTCAGGGGCCTGTCCTGGACACACCAGCTGGGCCCTCTGGGGGTGATATCACCCGATTAGGGTTCGGACTCCTCTGCACAGGCCCCGATTCCCATTTCCCTGATGTGGGGGCCTAGCACAGAGGCCACAGTCCAGTGGTGGCCTCTGCATGGAGCTGTGGGGAATGGGGGTGCAGCGAGTGCCGCTCTGGGCTCTGCTCCATTGTTCACGGCTGTGTGACCCTGGACAAGTCCCTCAGTCTGGCCAACTGATTTTTTAAGACAGAAAATGAAAATTTAAAAAAGATTTGCCTTATAAGGTTCTTACAGGGATGAATGGAGGCAGCACATCTAATGGGCTGAGCGAGAGTCGGCCGTGGGGGAACATTGGATGCATTTTGAAAACACAGCAGGGAAATGGCGGGGCAGACACTTCTCACCCCCCTCTCACCGCGTCTCGCCCACCTTGCTTCTCTCTCTCCGGGTCCCGGTTCTCTCTCTGCTCATCTTTTTCCCTGAGCTTCTCCGTGCACTTTACAGGAATTCCAGGGCACCTGGAAGAAGGGTTTCCAGGGCCTCACGTCTGTGAGTCACGAGCTGTGGCGGGGGTCGCATCTCCCGCCTTGAGAGTTTTTGAGGGAGTTTTGCTCCCTCAGAAGGGCCGAGAGCAGCATGAGCTTTTCCACACACAACAAAGCCTCCCCTCTGTCCCTGGTTGGCAAGGCAAGAGTTCGTTCTCACAAAACCTTCCAGAACCTACTGGGTCAGGTAACAGTGCAGGTGCCTGAGGCATACGAAGGGAAAAACAGGCTTTGCCTTTTTGTTCCTTGGGCCCAAGTGGGACGAGCCTGACACTGTGACCCTGTGGCAGTCGTGGGGCTGGGCTCGGTGAGGGTGGGAACGGAGCTCACCCTGTGGTCCTGTGGCAGTCGTGGGGCTGGGCTGGGTGAGGGTGGGAGCGGAGCTCACCGTGTGGTCCTGTGGCAGTCGTGGGGCCGGGCTC